ACTACAAGGCGGGCAGCCGGGAGGCCGCGGCCGCCGCCGCCGTGGCCGCCGCCGCCGCCGCCGCCGCCGCGGCCGAGCCCTACCCGGCATCCGGGGCCAAGCGCAAGTACCAGGAGGACTCGGACCCCGAGCGCAGCGACTACGAGGAGCAGCAGCTGCAGAAGGAGGAGGAGGCGCGCAAGGTGAAGAGCGGCATCCGCCAGATGCGCCTCTTTAGCCAGGACGAGTGCGCCAAGATCGAGGCCCGCATCGACGAGGTGGTGTCCCGCGCCGAGAAGGGCCTGTACAACGAGCACACGGTGGACCGGGCCCCGCTGCGCAACAAGTACTTCTTCGGCGAGGGCTACACGTACGGCGCCCAGCTGCAGAAGCGCGGGCCCGGTCAGGAGCGCCTCTACCCGCCGGGCGACGTGGATGAGATCCCCGAGTGGGTGCACCAGCTGGTGATCCAGAAGCTGGTGGAGCACCGCGTCATCCCCGAGGGCTTCGTCAACAGCGCCGTCATCAACGACTACCAGCCCGGCGGCTGCATCGTGTCTCACGTGGATCCCATCCACATCTTCGAGCGCCCCATCGTGTCCGTGTCCTTCTTCAGCGACTCGGCGCTCTGCTTCGGCTGCAAGTTCCAGTTCAAGCCTATCCGGGTGTCGGAACCTGTGCTTTCCCTGCCGGTGCGCAGGGGGAGCGTGACTGTGCTCAGGTAACCACCTGGGAGGAGGCGGCAGCCAGTGGGAGCCCGCGCTTTGCACTTCTGCCCCATTCTTCTGTTTGCGGAGTGGGGTGGGGGGCAGGGTGGTGGTGGAGAAGCGGGGAAAGGGGTCTGCGTTTACGACACGTACAGTGGGAAAGCAGGGAACAGGTCTAGAATTCTAGTATTTGGAGGCCAGTTTTGACGAGGTCACGGGCTTGACCGAGAACTAACGTAAAGGCATCTTTCCAGAAGATTAATTTTAGGAGCTTCTTTCCTTTTGTGATTTTTTAGCAAGTCACTTTTCCTCTTGGGGCCTCCATTTCCAAATCTGTTTTTTTTTTTTTATTAACTGGAATTATTATCTGAAAGTCTTTCCAACACTATTAGTTTCGGGTTGGTTGGTTTTTTTTAACGAGAATGTATTCCTGGATTCCTTAGCAGAGAAGATAGTCACAGAGGAAGGCTCCTGAGAGTATTTAACTGATACACGGTCTCCATTCCCAGGAGGGGCAGTGACTTCCCTGGTGTTGAACAGATCAGTGGTTGGGCTGGGAAAGGTGCAGCAAGCTTAAAATTCAGTCTCTTTTGGCTGCAGAAGTGCCCATTCGTTCTTTGTGAGAATGTGTTACCTGTCATCAGGACCATATGAAATAAAATAAAGCTGGTCTCTTTACCTGATATTTGGCCTTGTAGTTGTGTGAGCAGAACTTAGGTTCTTGGCCTGTTTTGGGTCCCACATCCTGCTGAGAATTAGCTCAGTACCCTGGCCCCTGGAGAAGATTGCCTGCTGGAACACCTTTGCTATTTATACAAGCAGAAAATTTATTTGGAAGCTGCCTCCTTCCATCGCTGAAACAAGTAAATCTAGCAGAGTACTTCAGTAATCCTCAAAACCTCTTAGGAGATCTAGACTGCAGCTGTTCAGAGCAGCTTGGTTGACCACCAAATTCTAGTACAGGATCAGGACACACTGCGGTCTTGTTGTGAGCAGCTTAACCTCTGAGGTTCGCTCAGTGCCATGGGCTGCGTCCATGGGGAGAAGCAGGGTCTGGGGGGCACTTTTAAGGCGTGAGACAAGTCTTAGATCTCATTTAAGTTGAACAGCTGAGGCTGCTTCCATATCTGGGAATGGCAGCAGAGTCTTGTGGTATCCAAGGTCTCCTGATGGGAAAGTTTGGGAAGTCAGTGGCAGCAGAAACAATAGTTCGGCTTCCTTATGCATCAGAAGTTAGAGGGCCGCTCACCTCTCAGCTGCCCCCTTGTCATTTGGGCTTCCAAGCTTCTCCTCAGATATGTGAGGTGCTCCCAGATTTGAGATAGGATTTCCAGGGAAGACTCTCCCCAGTGGTCTGCTGTGTAAGGCAGTTTGGGGTCAGTCTTCATTGAAGGATTTTCATGCTAAAAGGGTCTCACATGAGGGCCACTTGGTCTCTTAACGGGCTGTTAATTTCCCACATAGTCACACGTCCTCAGGGTTGTAGCAGAGGGTCTAGCAATGGTCAGGTGTGTGAAGGGGAGGTCACAAGAGGCAGTTTGTGGCTTTGAGAGTCCCCTTCCCTCCAGCACACACACACCCTGTATTGAAGAGAAGTATCAAGTTCTTAAAATGCAGGTCTGTTAGTGATCAGCAACAGGATTGCATCATCAGGAAAATTCTCTTCATCTTTTCCTTAGAATAATAAAGCCCTCAGGCTTTCCCAGTCTGTTCCTCCTGGATCCTAACTTGGCCGTGGAGTAAGTGTGGGAGGCTCAGCCGTGTCCTGAAAAATGTTGCCCCAGGCTTTGAATCCAGCTCTCCTCTTATTTGCTTTGGGATCTTGTGGGTGTTTTGTGAGCTGGCTCTCTCGTCTGTAAAGTGGAGGTGATGCCAGCTTCCAAAGCCTGTTGGAACTCAGTGTGGTGATTTGGTGTCTGATGGAGGACCTAGCGCAGGGTAGATCCTTAACTGGGTGCTTTCATACACAGCCGTCTAACGCTCCCCTGTTCTCTTGCTGGGGAAGGGGCTAAGGGTTTGGTGAAGCCTTAAACAGGGCTCTTCCGTTCACGGAGTTCACTGCCCAGTGGAGGCCACAGACAGGTAGTTATAGCCCAGGAAGGTAACTGATGGAGCACATTGCTGGGGGACATCTTGGTCCGCTCTGGAGTTTGGAATTTTTTAGGAGGAAGTAAGCTGTACCTTGAAGGTTGAGTAGGAGTTAGCCAAGCAAGGAAGGTGGGGGTGGAGGGAGCGCACAAGTCTATGGCGACAGAGCCAGGGAGTAGACATAGGTGAGGGGGAGATGCTGACTTGAGGCTTGTGGAATTCATTACTAGTTCTCTGCTCCAGCCTGGACCTAAAGTGGAGATTCTGGTGAGGCATGCCTGGTAAAGCTCTTGGTTAGAGCTTCTCCACAGCAGTGCTGTTGACATCTGGACCTGATGAATTCTTTGCTGTGGGGACTGGCCCGTGCGTTGGAGGATGTCGAGAAGTATCCCTGGCTTCTGTCCACTAAATGCTAGTAGCACCTACTCTGACAACCAAAAATGTCTCTAGACATTGCCAGGTGTCTCTTGGGGGTAAAATCATCCCCACCTGAGAGCCGCTGCTGTCAGGTTCTGGACACCCCACTAATTTAAATCCCCTGGCACCTGCTCACTTAGCACTCTCAGCTTACTTGGTGTGCAGGTGGGTGAACACCTGCCTGTTAGTAGCGCCTCTTTTCAGATCCTGCTCAGGCTCTTCCCCAGGCTGCTACAAGGGGATGCTTTCTTTCACTTACTGGTGTGTCTCCCAGCCTCAAGGTGATGAGCCGTAAAGCTGCAGATTGGAAGGGGCTGATGAAGACAGTGCTTCTCTGCAGATGGCGGAGGGGGGTTCTAGTAATTCTCATCTGACTCAGACGCCTTGTTGGTGGCAGTGATGTCTGTACCCATCCAAGGTACCATGGCAGAAATACAGTTTTATATTTAATAGTTGTTAGCACAGATCTTGGTGTATGGCAGACATTGACTCAGCAGTGTTTAAATGTGGGCATTTAGAGCACAGCTTCGCAGACCCTTCTGGAAGTGCTTCAGACTTCTTTCCAAACCCAGTTGGCAATTTTTTGTTTGTTTTTTGGGGTTTTTTGGTAACCTTCCCGTGTTGGGCTTGAGTGGGTGCGCTCTTAATGCTGTTCTCTAGGGCAATAAATATTTTTTAACCTCCTCTTTATATCAGTTCATCCTGCATTCCTTCTTTTGTTCTCTGTAGGTTAAATGACAGATTAAAACAGATTTCAGTTGGATTAATTAGAATAATTACCTTAAGGCTAATTGCTTTCTTGCTGCTATTTTTAATCACTGTTGCATGGTTGGTCTGTGGTTGTGGTGGCCACATGCCCAAAGACCCAGGCCTTAGCCACCTGTCTGGAAATGACTATTGCCCAGTCGTGGGGCACGCGGAGCCTGTGACTTCCAGATATCAGTTGATGTTGGGTGGAGCGGGCACCCCTGTCATTTCTGGGCTAAGGGTTGATCTTGCTCAGCTGGTTGGAAGCAAAATTTAGCTTTCTGGCTTAATATAGTTGGGAATGTAGGGCAGATAGGTGCTGGGCCACATCTCTTGTGTGGAATCTTCTTATTCTGTGGGAGGGGGAGGAACCTGGGAATGAAACCAGAGGTGTTCATTCTCAGGAGGATCTCTGGGCCAGGGGGTGTTGGCTGGCCTTGGTTCTGCCAGGCCTGACAAGATGGCAGAGGGCAGCAAAGGAAGGAAAGCTGACTTAGTCATGAAGCTCAGAGGTAGCAAAAAATAAATAGGCCATAAAAATTTCAGGGCCGGCTGGCCATTTTCAGCCCGGCCTTGGTGTGCAGGCGTCGCTGAGATAGGATGCTGGCTCTCTGGAGGCACGGGCTCGCCTTGGTGGACTTCTTCCATGCGGGGGGTAGGTGTATGCATATCCTTTGCCGAGGTCATTGAGGCCCCCAAGGCAGACTAGACCTTGTCAGCGGGAAACACGGATGGGCTTTTCTTCCTACCCCTCGTTACCTAGCCGTCCCCCTGCTCCCAGCAAAAAAACCAAAAAGCAGAAACCAGTGTAGCATAGACACCAAAACCAAGAGTTTGTTTGGAGTTCCAGGGCTACTGTTTTAGCTGTTTGACTTTGGGCAAGTTACTTAACTTCTCTGGGCCTTAGTTTACCTCTGGAAAATGGGGCTATTGCTGTCCTTGAGTTATTACTGAAGATTGCATTTCTTTAACAGTGTTGAAGTCTTGAGATTCAAATGAAGTATCTCAGGAGGTGAGCTTCCTCTGCTGAGCTGCTTTCTGTTTATTTCTTGATGTGTACAGAATTAGGACTTGGAGCAGGTTGATTTTCTTCCTTCTGGGTTCAGAAAGCCCTAAGACTTCTCATAATGTTAGGCTGTGTGTCATCTTGGAGGTTCAGGTGTGGTTGTAACTTGAGCCTGAGCTCACAGTCCTAACCTGTGCCCCAGGTGGTTGGGCTGCTGCCCCTAAAAGCCTAAGCGAGGTCCTGCAGGCCTGTGGGGCCTGCTCATGGGTGCTGCCCAGGGCAGGGAGCTCCAGCTGGAGGGAGGCTGTCATTAGGCAGTCCTTGGCCAGTTTGTCCGTCGTTGTCTGGCTCTGTTCTGTCCTGGGTGTAGAAGAGGAATGGTGGCCACCTTGGAACTGTGCCTTAACAACTCTGTCTCCAAGCTTGTCCTCTCGAGGAGAGGTATGCAGTCCTGCACAGCCCCTTATAAAGAGTCTTCCAGACTTCTTTGACCTGCACCTGATCATCTGTGGAAGGACTTGCTGCAGTCTGTTTTGCCGATGTAGAATCTGAGTCTTCAAAGCAATAAAAAGTTGAGCATGTTTCATTTAGTGTTCACTACGTGCAGAGATGAGCAAGGCCTTTGCAGAGCTTCGTCTTACAGGAAAGACGCAGTTTCCACCAGGCTGAACAGTAGCAGTAGAGGGGCTCGGGTGGGCAATGTGTGGGAAACCCAGCCTGGGGGACTTGAGAAAAGCTTCCCAGAAGAGGAGAGACTCTCGAGGTACTCTAAGGCATAGTCCTAATGGGTGACAGCCAGGTTCTGTTGCTCTGAATGCTGTGGCAAGCTGGCCTCTGCTGCATGGGGTTGGGGGAACTTGGGAGGCTCAGCCCAGGCCAGTACCAGCACGAGGTATTTCCTCCTCTCCTTTCCCTATGAAAACAAAAGATCAGGAGGCACTGAAACTTTCTTCATGCCAAGGGTAGGGCTGGACCTAGGGCATATTAAATTTCAAGCTGGCAGACTGAGACTTTCAGTTTCTCTTGTAGCGAGTAGGTTTCTTAGTGGTAAATAACCCTCTGTGGTTTTTGCTGGACACTTTCTGCTGAATTTTGGGCAGAAGAGCTTCCCTTGGTCAGGACTTTGAGCCTCCCACTCCCAGCAGAGGCTGATACTCTGAGGAGGGGTCAGTAGACTGTGTCAAGCTGCCAGGAAGTTCTGGAAGACCAGTGTTCGTGAGCTGTTCAGGTCGGGGTCAGTGAGTGCCATGGTCATTTCTGTGGGCCTCTGCAGTCCTGCCTCTGCACTAGTTCTGAGACCTGGGCTCGGTGGCAGGAACCTGGCTTGGCTTGCTCTTCGTTCTAGAGCCCTTTGGGAGGGAGGCGGGGGCAGTTAAAATTTGGCCAACATCTTGCGTTGCTCCTTTTGCATTATGGAATGCGGCTCCTTGTTGAAGATGGCAAACCAGGGACCGTGGCAGGCCCTACAGCCAAGTCAGACAGATTGGTGACACTTGTCAGCAGCAGGGACGGTTGCCCACAGCCAGGACTGCAGATTCAGGCCTCAGAAATATGCCTCTTTGGGAAAGTCCTGTGTTTATTTGGGACTCCCTCAGAGGAGTGACAAGAGAGAGCATAGAACAAGATTTAGAGCTCCTAGCCCAGGGGATGGGGCCCAGGAGGTCTCTGCTGGTGGGCATGGATCAAGGTGGTCTGGGGCCCCAGCTTGTGTCAGATGCTCAATAAATGGGAGTGGGGCCCCAGGCACCCTGCATTATCTAACTGAATTCTCACAGAAGCCCTGTAGGTAAGCTGCCACTGCTCCTCTTCGGAGCACCAACCATGAAGATGTGTAACTATAATTCTGCCTGGGTGAGGGGGACACTGTTCCCCTTTTAAAATGTCATCATTTGTGGCCACAGAGGAATGCCTAAGTTAGCATAATCACATGACCACCTCAAAACCTACTGATGCCCCTCCAGATGGAGACCTGAGGTTTCTGCCCAGCATGTCAGCTAAGGCGACAAAGCTCAGGTTATAACGTAGGCCTTTTCAACTCCTCGATCCCTATGTGGCATTTCTCTGTGGGCCTACAGATGTTAATAGGTGTTATTTGAGAGAAGGTTCTTTGGTCAGTGCTCAGTTAAAGTCAGGAGACTTTTGCTGTAGTAATTCTTGGATCCTTTAACAATACTAATGCTTTTTTAAGCTCCTCAATATTTTCCAAATTGATTTGACTGTGGACGTTTGTCCATCGTATCTTGTGGGACTGGTGTTGACAGAGAAAATTGAAAATCTCTGATTTAGGATCAGCTTGGAGGGGAAATCCCCAAAATAAAGGTCCTTATCTCTGCCTCCCTGGCTTGGCCTCAGATCAGATTTCTGAATCAGAAGTGCTTCTCTCTTAGACTTTAGTTTTCATTTGCTCTTGCATCCAATTCTTGCCCATGTTGGGTCAACTTGGCCATTTTGAGGAGTCCTTGCTAGGCCTGCAGTGTTTCTGACAGTTTCTCCGTGTTTTCAGCTGCCTGTGAGAAGGGAGCTGATTGGCAGCCGCAAGGAGGAAGGTTTGTGGTCTGGGGGTGTCAAGGGAGTCCTGAGCAGGAGGAGGCCGAGAAGGTGCTCACCTCCCGCTAGGCATGAGGCTGTTGGGACTGCCTTGGCTCAGTGGAGGGACTTGGGTGATGCCTCTTGGGTGCTGTGCTCCCAGCGAGGGTCTGCGAGGGGCTCAGGAAGCTGTTTATGCCCAGAGTTTCAGGTCAGAAAGACATTAGCTGTGAAGAGGACAGTCATCTAGCCACAGTCAGTGGTCTGAGTAGTTTTAAAAATCATGTATCTTGATGAAACTAAATATTTGAATGTGATGGGAATTCTTGAAATATTCAAACATAGCTGTCTTCAAGATTTTGGATCCCCTCAGATGAAGCTTTTTGAAAGGTTTTTTTCCAAGTGGACAAATTTTCTTTTTGAACATTGCAGCCTTAATTCTCTCTGGTGACCCAGTGCTGCCAGGGTCTGCTTTGGCCTCCTTTGCGAGCCCAAAGGTGGGGAGGGGGAGAGGCATTTCTTGTCTTTTCACCAGCGTCTGGCCCAAGTCATTCCATCAGCCTCCAAAGCCACTGAAGGTGTTCCTCTAGGGGGCCCTTTGAAAGAAGGGCTCCTGGTCTGTGCAGGGAGATTCCTGCTTCAGCTTCTGCTTTAAGACCTGCCTTTACGTCACCCCAGGTGTTTCTTTAAGTGGTTTCTGGGTGAGAGCATCCTGGTGCTTAACATGTTACTTGTTTCCTTGTTAATCTTTGAACCTCTCAAATGGTGGGGCAGGGGTGGCTATAGGACCTGGACCATATTTCTGTCTCTTTACCCGCAAGAGCTCTGGTTGTCTATCCCCCTCCACACTCACGTGCTCTGTGTTTGTTTTCAGTGGATACGCCGCTGATGAAATCACTCACTGCATCCGGCCTCAGGACATCAAGGAGCGCAGAGCTGTCATCATCCTCAGGAAGTAAGTGCTTGGTGTCTGGAGACGCAGGTCTGGGCTCCCGGAGGACCTGGCTCCTCTGTCAGTAGCATGGCAGCCTGATGCCTGGGCGAGGGGAAGGCTGTAAGATCTCATACCTTTTGATTTGAATTCTGTGAGAATAAAGCTGTTTTTGTCTTTTTTTTTTATCAGAAAATTAAGTTCTGTGGCTGTTTAACTAGGGAGTTTAGGGCTGAGCAAAACACATGTTCCCAAGTGTTTGTGGGCACAGTCTTGAGACAAGATTTGGGGAACACTTCCAGACCCCGCCCCCCCCACCTCTTCTTTCCCCACTGCCTTGGTTCTGATTTGTCACGTGTGCTCTCACTGAGTATTTTTAGATTGTGCCTTAGCAGCTTGCTTTAAAAATGCCTGGGTTTTCCCTTCTGGGAGGAGTGGGGAGTGAGGAGGGAAGTGAGGAGGGGAGTGAAGGTGGGGTTGGGCTGCAGTGCTCCACAGGCACATGGCTGGTGGCTGTCCCTCCTCCTCTGGCCGGGGTCGGGGGTATGCTGACCAGCATTGCCAAAACCTGGCCTCTCCAGCACTTCTTGTCTTCCTGCTCAGAGGGTGAATGGACCGAGCCAAGCAGATGCTGGGGCAGGTTAATCCTGCTTTGAGGCTCGAGTCCTGAGAGGCCGGCTGATTACCTGGTGTCATGTAGACCTCAGGGAGCAGAGCAGGACCAGTGCCAGATCCAGGCTGGAGCAAGATGCCTTGTAGCTCGCCTTTTTTTTTTAAATTTAAGTAGACTTTATTTTTTTAGAATAATCTTGGATTCACAGAAGGTTGTGAAAACAGCAGGGAGTCCCCCCGTACCCCGGACTCCACTTCCCCTGCTGGTGACACCTTACGTCGGGGAGGGGGCGCGCTGACTGCCGTCGAGAAACCAAACTGATCGGTGATGATTCACTGAAGTCCATCCTGTGCCCAGATTCCCTGGCTTCCCTCACGTCCCTTTTGTGTCCCGGGATCCCACGTCACCTCAGGTCCTCTCACTGTGACAGTTTCTCAGACGCGCCTTACTCTCACACACTGCGTAGAACACTTGGGCGTGTCTGGTGTTTCTCTCCTGGTTACACTGGGCTCCGGGTTTTGGGAGGAAGTGCCGTCTCCACACGACGTTTCCAGTTACGCTGATCTTGAGCACCTGGCTGAGACGGTGTTCGTCAGGACTTTGCCTCTCAAGTCACTGCTGTCCCCTGCGCACACCGTCCTCTTTGGAGGACATCGCTTGTGGGGCCCACACAGGAGGAGTGGAAGTCAGCGCCGCCCCCGTGAGGGCGGAGTCGCCTCACAGATTCCTCGGAGCCCTCTGTGCCAGGGATTTTGTGTCTTCTCCCTTCTTGTTTGTGTCTTTAGTCCCCGTTTCCTTACGTCAGCATGGACTCACAGTATTTACTGTATGCTCACCTTGTCCTAGTTTGGGCCATTGGGAGCTCTTTTTTTTAAGTACATGCTTAATTTTCTGGCTTGCCATCTTCAGTCTGTGACTTCGGCATCTTGGTGTTTTGGGTCCAGAACTCCAGAGTATCATGGTGGTGACATTTCTTTGGCCTGGCTCTGCCACTTTGCCAGGTCAAAACATTGAGTCTTTGTTTTCTCATCTGTGGACCGTAGATGACCCAGACTTGTAGGACAGTCCTGTGGTGCAGGCAGAGCACTGGGCACGTAAGGGAGCTCCAGACACAGGGCAGCTTGGCAGCTGGCAGCCTCTCTCCTCTAGCTTCGGAATATTCCCAGGGTTCATCAGAGGAGGAAGGGTTTTTGTCTGCCCTTTCAGCTTTCATTTCCTGTGATTCCCGGCACAGTCCAAAACCCAGAACCCAGATGGAACCCAAAGTACAGCTCCCTTCTGGCCTTTCCTTCCCTGTCATTTCTTCTGAGGCTGTACCTGGCACCTCCAGCTGTAGCCAGAGACACATGATCCACCTCGGCAAGGAGCCTGGAGAAGAACTCCCAGGATGATGTAGGACCAGAGCAGCAACTTCCCAGCTGTTCTCTTCCAGCTTATCCCAGGAAAGTCTTCACTGAAAGTGCAGATGGAAGTGGTCAGTTCATCCTTCTGACTCTCCTTCCTCTAGAATGGTGGCTCCCTCCCTGACTGCCCAGGCAGGATGCTCCTTGGTGGAGCTCAGAGTCTACGCTGTTAACCAACTCCCCCTGGGAGCTTTTTGGCCAGCTGAGCCCCTGGCAGTAGTATTCTGACCTCAGAGAATGGCTGTTTGTGGGCGACTGAGGCTTTTTGACCTTCTGACGTGAGTGGGCCCAGGAGCCAACTAGAGGCTGGGCTGGAGGGCAGAAGCACAGGATTTTGGTGTAAGGGGGCTGAATAGGGGTGGGGGGTTTCTCCCCAGCTTCCTGGGCTACAGAGCTGGGGAAGTGCCCAGCTGTAGGAAGCCAACGCAGGGGACCAGAGGGAGAGGCAAGGGCAGCTCTGTTGCCTGCAGAGAAAATCCAAGGACTGTCCATCCAGCCTTCTCTCTTGATGTTTTCCATGTGGTCTTCTGCTCCCTTACGTTAAAGTCCCTGCAGCTCCTCATGTGGCCCGTGGACTTGAGTGCAGTGTGGGCTTTGCCATCTGATCTGTTCACCTTCTGGTCCACACCTACCCCTCAAATGACCCACATATATACACTGAAGGTTGGTTATCTAGCCATCCTTCAGGGCTCAAGGGTCAACTATTTTAACATGCAGGAAGCGTTGCATTCACACTGGTAGCCCTCTCAGCTCACCCCTACCCCTTCAGACTGTCGTGGCCCAGATGCTTGCCGTTGTGAATTGCCACAGCTGTGTTCTGTTGGGGGCAGGGAGATCCCTGTTCATCTGAGTCCTGCATTGAGGCTGGTCCAGAGCAGGCACCAGAGGAAGACAGTTCAGGTTGGTGAGGAGCAGCAGCAGGTAGAAAAGGACAAGCTGGTGACTAGACCAAGGGGGAGTATCCTGGCTCAGGTGCGGCCCAGGCATCAGCGACGTGGCCTTGGTGGGCGCCTGGCAGACTCGATGTCCTCGAGTGAGGCGCATCACGGTGGTGGGATCTGGGCATTGAGCTCGGCCCTGCTCCTCAGGCAGATGTGGTGGAGCCAGCCCTACCTTCTCTTAAGTGTGGACAGAGGTTGCACAGGCTGCTGGGGGAGGACCGGGCGGCTCTGTCACCGGTTCAGGTCTATCAGCACTGGGGTAGTCTTTCTAAGGGCCTCACAGGGAACAGTGGGCGGCCGTCAAGTGTCTGGTTCAGCAAGACTCAGCTCCTTTGAACGTGAATGACGCCGAGTCTTCAGGTCCATGGTGCCTGGTCCCTCGCCAGGAGGCTGGGAGTGACCCTCAGGGAGCTTCCCTGGGAGTGCAGCCCTCAGGCCGCAGCTCAGTGTTGTAATCCATTAGGGGTCACCGCTGGTAAATGGCTGAGTGAGGCCTTGAACCTGGGTCTCCTGTCCTGGGTCTGTGGCCCCTTGGCGGTCTGCACGGTGGAGCACCCAGGTGCTGCCCCTGCCCCAGTGTGTCTCGGGCAGACACTGCGAGTTGGAGAACCTGGAGCCTCACGTGCAGAAGGGCCTCCTTCTCGCTTCTGCTGTGCGAGTAGAGAAGCTGATGGCTGAGCTGTTCTAAGTGACAAGGGGGCTCCTCTGTGGGGTGTGGGTGAGGCTGCAGCTGCCGGCAGGTTAGCTCTTCAGTACACCCAGCTTCCCTGAGTGTCCCTGTTTCCCAGGCCACACAGGGCAGGCTGCCCAGGATACATCTTTGTCGGTCATTCATACTCCCGGCAGGGAAGCTGGACCTTTCTGAAGGTGTGGTTAATTAAAGTTTTAAATTACTAATTGGAGAACCAGGAGGCTGGCCATCTTCTAGTGTAGCAGGGTGTAGCAGTCACTGGGGGCGAGGGAATATTCCATCTTCCCCACAGCTCCCTGACACGCAGTCCTCAGGGGACCTTCGTGCTGCCCTGTGCCAGGCACCCACCTGCTTGGTGCCCGGCGCAGAGGAGAGTGCTGCCCACACGTTACCCCTGAGAGTAGAGGATGCGAACTCTGTTGGAGAGGGGCTTAGGCAGGAAGTGAGCTGCCTCAGCTCATGCGGCTGGTCTGGAATGGTCTTTAAACAGGGATTCCCGACTGGGAACGCCAAGCACCTACCATGCACAAGACCCCCGAGGCAGGCATGCTGGAGGCTGAACGTTCCCCTGGTGCCACATTTGCACTCGGCTGGCGCTTTGCACACCGGTACCAGATGAGCAAAATGAGCACTGTCCTGAGAGCTCAGTGTATATCCACCTGGGCCCCGCAGGAAACAGTAACGAAAGTGACATCCAGCTTCGGAAGGTCATTGGGACGGGCTTGGGAGATCTGGCTCCTGAGCTAGAAACTGCCCGCCAGGCAGAAAGGGTGAGCTGGAAGGCAGAAAGGTGGGGCGTCTAGAGGGCCCCTGTCATTGCAGGGATGAGGGGAAGGAGGCCCTGGATCAGCATGTCACCGGGATGTGGCTGTGGGCCCTCAGGGCCTTCTGGTCCAGGGCACCCAGGCTCTTGGTGTTCAGGAGGCCCCCCCCCCCAGTTTGGCCTACAAGACTTGTATTCCTTCATGGTTAATCTCTCCAGTTAACCAGATAAAATGGCTCAAGGTGGCTTAGATAGCCTGTTTCTTTGCCTTTGGTCAAGTGGAGCTCAGCTCAGGGTGGGCTGGAGTTGGGGAAGGCAGCTATGGAGGTTCATTTGCCAAACATTAAACAAAGCTGGTGTGTGCCAGGCTCTGTGCTAGTGCCTGGAACGTAGTGAGTGTGGAATCTTCTCGTCCCATTGTCCTTTGGGAGAAGGCAGACACTTAGAGCCTTGCCAGGGACTGGTCAAGGAAGGCTTTCCAGAGAAGTGTCACCTGATGTGTGGGCGCCAGGCAGGCTTCGAAGAGGCTCAGGGGAAAGGCAGGTTGGGTGGAAGAGCTGCCCTTTACAGAGGCTCGGAGCGCGAGGACACGAGGCAGTCCGTTCTGGGACACAGTGGAGATGGGTGGAGGGCCTCGTGCTGCGCGAGGGATCGGGAGGGCCCTGGGGAGCGTCGTCGTGTGGGAGCAGTGGGGTGAGAGCTTTGTTTAGGAGAGGTTGCATGTGGGAGGCTGAGCTAAATGGCCTAATTGGTCATCCAGGCCCAGGGGTCCCTGAGGTCAGAGGGGACCCTCCCAGAAAGCAGAGCAGCAGAAAGTGAGGCTGCATGTGGAGGAGGGGAGGGTGCGGAAGGAGGGCGGGCTCTAGGCTTTGTCCCTCAGCTCTTGGTTTCCCTGACCAAGGCCAGTCCTGAGACGTTGCCCCAACTCAGACCCCTGCTGTTGCTCCTGTCCCCGTGGTTCTTGTCGATTGTACCCAGGGTTGCCCACCTTTGTTCTTTTGTGAGTCTAGGGAGTGTGTGTGTCTACAACCTGCTCAAGGAATAAGGAGGCAGCGACACCGCCAGGGAGTGTGACTGGCTTGGGCTCCTGACCTAGGCTCTGTCCCTTCTTCACAGACTACAAGTTGGTTATGTGAGCCCTGCTTTTTCAGCTGTAAATTGTGGCAGTTGTGGGGCTAGGGATGATTAAACTGAGGAGTGCTGTGTGTGCTTTTCCCGGTCCCTTCCTCACCATCGCCTACTCTGATCTCGATGGGTCAGGAGTAGGGGATGAGGAAGACTGTGTTCCACCGGGCACAGTGTGAGCAGAGAGGCACATGCCACAGGAGGACAGGGGAACTCAGAGCCGTGTTGTTTAGCAGCTCAGGTGCGGGAAGGCAGGCGTGGTGTCTGGCCTGGTGTCCTGGAGGACAGTGGGCCCTTACTGAGGCCTGACCTGGAGGATCCCTGAGTGCCTGTGGTCCTGGCCCTGTTGTCTGCCTCCTGGAGCCCTGGGTTACGCTTGTGTGGTATGACGTGGCGGTAACTAGGTGAGGCGACTTGGAGAACCCTTTGGGGCCTGAGTGTTTTGTAGGCCTGGGTGTGGGGTGTTCTGCTAGAAGCCCATGTGCTTGGGGTGCCCTCTCTTTGGCTGATAACACTTATGTGTCCTTCAGGCTCCTTTGATCATAGCCAGTTCTTAAACCTGTGTCAGAACTGCCATGCAGGAGAGGCAGGAGTTGGAGAGAAGCTTGATGTTGGAGGGAGGTTGGTGGGAGATGGGAGGGTTGGGAGCTTTCACAAGAGAGACAGGTGCAGGTCTGGGCTGTGCGGGGGTCTAATACCCTGAAGGGCTGGAACTTAGACCCAGGGGCCCAGGTCACTCGGTAGACAAGGAGTGCTCAGACCGGCTGGCATGCTACTCCCTGCCTCCTCACTCCGTTGGCAAAGCAAGACTTGGTAGCGCAAGAGTGCTTGTGAGGGTAGAGCCAGAAGTTGTGGGTGATTGGCAGCAGGGCCTGATGTGCAGACTGGTTCCCTGTCTCCCATTAAGTGCTGGTCTGCTGGGACAGCTGTCAGCTCCGCTGCAGTGAAGAAATGCCATCTGGGCTTCAGGGGCCGCCCTGGGGTAGCAGCTGTGTGACCAAGGCCAGTGACTGGGTCTCTGACTTAGTGTTGTTCCCGTCTCGACAGTGGGCACATTGGGCATAGCCCTCCGCCCCACAGTGAGCACTGTCCTCCCCCCTCACAGTGGGCATAGTGCTCCCCAGCAGCTTCTCGGAGGACGCCGTGACTGATGAAGCATGAGGGCAGCACCTGGGACAGTTGTTCCCTCCCTCTCAGGTCGCGTGTTAATGCTCGGCCATCCTCCCTTGCCTCCTAGGCCCAGTCCATGCTTCGTCCTGGGGCTTTCCTGACACACCTGGGTTCCTTCCTGTGACACCTGGATGTTGACTCTGATCTGTAAGGCAGGAATACCCAGACCCTTCTGTTAAAACTGGGCTTCCTGCCTCCAAGCTTGTGACTGTCCACTGAACGCTGGCCTGCTCCCTGGGAGTTGGCTGCCCTTTAAGAGGGGTGTGCTCTGCTGCTGGTGGGCTCTGGGCTGGGGATCTCACTCTCACCTGGTCTCTGGCAACTTGGTGGTTTTTTGGAAGTGGAGAGAGGGCAGAAACTCCTCCAGCGGTTCTGAGATGTACTTGTAACAGCCCTGGGAGATGTGTCAGGAGCCCTTTTGGGCCCCAGAGCTCATACCATCCTTAAAGTGGGTGCAGGCAGCTGGGTTTCTGGTGGGGCCACCTCTGACCATTGCTTCTCAGGGCTGGCCCCTGATGGTGGCAGAGGTGTTGCATGGGGGAGCTGCACCCTTCCCTCTCTTCCTCCTCTCAGGCAGCTGGACAGCAGCAGAGCTAGTCCATGTCCCCGGCCTGTCTCCCCAGCCTCTCCAGCAGTCCTAGACCCACGTGAGGGGCCGACTGCCCGAGTAGCAAGCGGCTCAAGAAGGGTGGGGCTGCGCCAGGGCTCAGTTGTGCCAGCTGTTCTCCAGCCATGGAGGTGTGGGGGCCAGGCACTCCTCTTGGTGGCTCTGCTCTTCTCTGTCACTGCCCAGAGGAAACCACTCCACGGCCCTGGGCCCCAGGGTCCTGCCCACTCGGGCTTTCCTGCCTGGGGCGTGTGCTTCCGGGCACCTGGAGGGTCTTTGTGTCGACTTATCTGGGCAGTGCCGGAGGCACTTTCCTCCTCTAGCTTCAGACCCTGGAGTCCTCGAAGTGGGAGTTTTTTGGCTGCTCCGCATTTGGTATGAGCTTTCGGGGATCCGAGTCTTGGCCTGCAGAGACGAGGCCCTGTGACTCCAGTGATTCTGGTTCCCACCCTCAGATCTGGGCTGGCCCAGCACCACCTCTTCCCAGTGCCCCTCAACAGAATCCTGGCCTTGAAGGAGGCAACTTGTCTTTGGTCTCTAGACCCTGAGAACTGGAAGAGGCCTTTGCTCACATGGGGAAACAGGCCCAGAGAGGGGTGGTGCCTGGCCTAGACTCTGAGTGGCAGCATCAGGGCTGGGCCTTCTTCCTCTGGCTGCTGAGTCCTGCTTCCTCAAGTAGGGGTGCCCAGAGTGGAGCCTGAGACCCGTGGGCTGGTCAGTGCAGCGGGGCTCCCTCTGTATTCCTGTCTAAGAGGTCAAAGCAAAGGGGCAGGGACAGTTGCCTGCCTGCCTGTCCACCAGTTTGGGCCCGAGGATGCCAGAACATTGATTGCCTGCTGGAAAGGCGCCCCCTGCTGGCCTCCAGCGAAAGACCCCTGCCCAGGTTCAGAGCTTGGTGATTCCTGCCTGCCAGGCTTGGAGTCTCACCTGGACTAGACCTTCCTCCCAGGACTCCCAGAATGTGTGACTTCCCTCCTTCTGACCCAGTTTTCCTGACTTGACAGCAGGACAGCCAGTGGGGGTAGGGGGAGCTGTGAGGATTGGATGCAGTTGTCCCCAGGATCCCAAGGCAGCTCTCCAGTTTCCCTCCTGCTCTCTTCCCCCAGCATCCTTGTGAGGATGTCCTTTGAGTCCTGCCTGACCACAGCACCTTCTTCCTCAGAACCAAGCTGCTACCTTGTGCCCAGCAGCCCATGGGAAAGATGCCTTCAGGGTCTTCTGCCAGCTGTGCCCCATCCCTCCCTACCCCAGGCCTCTTTTCCTTGCTGTTAGCAGCCTGACTTGCTGGCCTTCTCTATCACACAAGAAGCCTCAGGGCTTCTTGGAGGTTTCCCAGGCCAGCTTCCTCCTGGCCTGACTTCATAAAGCACTTAGATCCCTGCCTGGACTGCCTCCTACCCAGATTCTGTCCCTTCTTCCCCGTCCATACTTGCATGCGTTTTTCTTTCACTGGGTTCCAGTGCTTGGTGGGGTCTTTGCCTTCAAAAACCCCCTGTCCTTGGCTTGGTCAGTGTCCCGGAACCCGCAGAAGCTTCCAGGTGGCTGTGGCGGGACCAGAGCCAAGTGTGAATGTGGAATGGGGCCCGGGCACTCCTAGCTCTTCCGCAGCCTCAGTGTTCCTGTGTGAGAGAGCAGAGAAGCTCTGGCCGGGCCAGAGAACCTTCCTGTCTTGGTACTTGAGGATGGGTGGACGTGTCTGCCGGAGTGCGGCACCCACCGGTGGGGCCCTCGGTTCTCTAGCACGTGGAGTGGTTGCCCCTGGGGGACCTGTGGGCCTAAGTAGGGTAAGATGGGGCCGCTTTGTCCAGCTGAGAGCACCCTGGGGCTTTTCCACTGGGGCAGCAGATCCATTAGAAGTCTCCAAACAGAAGTGTTCCTATTCCCTACTGCTAAGCCTGGACTTAGGAAGGAGGGTGTTTGCAAGTCAGCTGGACCTGTCCCGAGTTGAGCCACGAGGAGACCGAAGCACAGCACTGAGACTGCCAGCCTGAGAAAGAATTGGTCTGATAGGGCCACACCCTCCCCAGAGACCTGCCAGTGATCCCACGTGCATTTCCTTTGCAGGACAAGATTAGATGCACCCCGGTTGGAAACAAAGTCCCTGAGCAGTTCCGTGTTACCACCCAGCTATGCTTCAGATCGTCTGTCGGGAAACAACAGGGACTCCGCTCTGAAACCCAAGCGGTCCCACCGCAAAGCGGACCCTGATGCTGCCCACAGGTACTCCGCTTAGGGTCCTCAACAGAGGCCGGCAAGGCAGTGCCACAGTCTGGCTGCAGGCCAGAATGGGTGGGATGCCTGTGGTCAGTGGTTAAGAGCCTGGCTTTGCCCACCTTTCCAAAGCCCTAGGTCTGGTTTTCCAGGGCTAGTGGCATTCCTAGCTAAGCCTTGGCCAACGCCTGTACCTTCAGAGAGAAGGGGTTGGGCCGAGACACTGGCAGGTGGGAGTGCTTCGTGGCCCTCCCATGACTTTCCTCATCAGTCCACCCAGACAGGCACTCTTGTGGGTTATAATGTTAGGAGGGAAGCTTGGGACTTGGCAGATAGCAGAGGATGGTATTTAAGCTGAGGCCAGGGGGATGGGCAGCCTGTGGGAAGGGCAGTCTGGGCAGGAGGTACTGTATGGGCTGAAATGCTGACGCAGGAAGAACATGGTAGTTTGGGGGGCTAGTTGGGGGTTAGTCAGCAGAGACGGGGGTGGGCATAGAGAGAAGGTGGTGGGGGTCTGAGAAGCAGAGGTTGATGGCAGGACCAGGCAGGGTCTTGAGGCTACGTTGGGCACCTTCTGTCCTAGGGCACGAGACTCAGAGCCGAGCAGGCCCCACAGGTAACTGGGAAGTGTCTCAAAGACCAGTGGCCACTGGCACCTGGTGGGCAGGACACGATGTCAGTGCTTCAGCCAGTGCTGCCCTGCGTGGAGAACCCACGAGTCGGGTGGCCCTGGGCCAGCCCTTGGGTAACGCGCACCCCTCCCCTTGCAGGCCTCGGATCCTGGAGATGGACAAGGAGGAGAACCGGCGCTCGGTGCTGCTCCCCACACACCGGCGGAGGAGCGGCTTCAGCTCGGAGAACTACTGGCGCAAGTCCTACGAGCCCGGGGAGGACTGCTCGGAGGCGGCAGGCAGCCCTGCCCGCAAGGTGAAGATGCGGCGGCACTGAGGCCGGTGCCCTCTGGGGACTCGGCCTGATCCTCACTAAGCTGCCCCTCCTTTTGTTTTGTTTTGAAGGTTTTTGTTTCTTTCTTTCTATTTGATCCTTACGTTTTTTTCCTTGGTTTATTGCCTGTTAAGGCTGAAGAACAGAATTGGCTGGGATCTGGTTCTCATGTTCTCAGTTTTTCTCCTGAATGGATCTAGAGGGGACGGAAGCTCATGCTGGGGTGGCCAGTAGAGGTGTGGGGGGCAGCCATTCTCATGTGGGGCCGCGTCAGGCTGGGTTTATTTAAGAGCATCAAAATGTTTTGGTTAAGAAAAATTCTTGTTTTGCTTTAAATGTAAATCTCCTCCGTGTTGTAAATGAAGTTCAGTCTCCTGCCCCCCATCCCCCACTGATGTCTGCACTGGGTTGAGGTCCTGCCTGCTCTGCAGGGGGCCTGCTGCCCTCCCACCTCTCCCCTGCTCTCTGGATGCCCCCTCCTCCTGCAGCAGTTGTTCGGAATGACCCAGCAGAGGCTTAAAAAGTGCCAGGCCCTGCTGCCCCAGAGCTGTTACTGTTCAAGACCCAGGGCTCCCTCCACACCCTCTGGCCTGCTCTGCCCACGGGTCCCTGGGCTGCTGAGGGCCCGGCTTCAGTGGTCCTGATCTCTCGCCAAGAGCACGCCTCTGCTGGGTTGCTCCTTTCAAGCATATGCGTGTGATCGTGCGGAACAGTTAGACTTGCCGTGTTGGGGCTGTTTTAGGAGTTGTTTCTAGCTGGAGGGGCTGGTGTCCTTCCAAGTCTAGCATTTGGGGTATGGAAAATTGTTGTGGTGTGTGGTAGGGTTTTTCTTTTGTTCTGAGTTTTCATTTTTTTCCTTTGGTCTCCTGGCTTTTTCCTTTCCCTTTCCTTTCTCCACGGGCCAGCTCAGGCCTTCTCCCTGTCAGCCCCATAGGAGGGCACCCGCCTCCTCTGCCTGCCTGCAGTGCACATCCAAGGCCAGAGCTCAGGCCTGCAGGCAGGGTTGGTGCCTCCTCTGCCTCAGGGGCATGGGAGCTGGGGAAGGGCTTAAAAGAAATAACAACAAAAGGAAAAAAAAAGCAAAGCCTTTGACAGTTTTCACCCACTCAGATCCTCGTAGGTTGCAAGGTTTTGCTGATCTGGGTTCATTGGGAATGTTTCCTTGCCAGCCAGGGCCAAGACCCAGGCCTGCTGAGAGCAGAGGCCCTCCCAGTCCCCGGGCTGCCACCATCCCAGGGGCCTAGTCTTACAGAGGCTGCAGACAGCTGGGGCAGCCACCATCAAGAAGCCCCTCTCGGGGGCCAGAACTCCTTTGCCAGCGTGGATTCCTCAAGTCGGGACTGCATAATAACTAAAGCAGTTGCAGTTTTATTTTTTTTACAGCTTTTTTCCCAAAAATGATTTGTAGTTGTGTGTGCAGCACTTTGCCCTGATATGTGTGCTCTACAATAAAAACCAAATCTAATATATTTTGAAACAGTGGTCTGATGCTGTCGTAAGAAAGGACTTGCCTTTGGTTCTTCCTTAACCCCTCTGTGTTGTCCTGAAACTCTGAGGGGCTGGGTGGCGGGGTCCATTGTCCACCAGGAACCCAGGGAACAGCAGCAGTTGCCGACACAGGGTTGAGGGCAGACTTGCCCAGTGCCTTTTCTCCACTGCAAGGAGGATGGACTTCGTAAGCCTTGCGTCCAGGTGCCCAGGGCACCGTGGGCCCCCTGGAGCCAGGAGCATACCCTGCTGAGTTCTGGAAGCCCTTCTTCCTGGGGTTGGTCAGAGGGGCTGTGAGCTGGTGGAGGAGGAACATGGTGTGAGCAAAGGCAGGGGAGAGCCTGGCCTTTGAAGAAAATATGCAAGAGGTTTTGCTTATTAAACAAATCCTTGAGTTTGAACTATTTGCTCGCCAAGTCCTCCCTGTGGCTCAGGAGGGAGAAGAGCTCTCGTGGCCCATGTTTTCAAGATGTGTGCAGTAGAGCTGACAGCTGTGGGGACTGGCATCTCCAGAGGAGACCCTGGAGCTGAGAGGGGAAGGTCCAGACTGTGGCTGAGGTGGCACATCCCCCATGCTGTGCCTGCGCCTGGATCTGGGGTCATGGGATGGGGGCTCATGGAGGGCAACGCTGATGGGAGAGACTCTGCTGCAGCTGTGACAAATCCAGACCCAGGATCTTCCTGGTCTGAGTGAATGAGGCCCTTTGCCCTACAGGATTGAGGGACAGGAGACTAGAGGAGAGGGCTTCCAGCCGAAGTGTGTCTTTGTCTTTGGTTTTTGTACCTCACAGTGGTTCCATGGCACCCCATCTCTGGGGCTGTGGTAGTCCTCTGAGCAGCCTCCAGCCGGTGAGGGTCCCATATCTGACTCCCTGAGTCTGGCTGTTCCCAGCTGTCTGATCTGCCGGGACACCAGCTGTTTGGGCCAGGTACTGAGTTCCAGCAGTCTCTGCCCCCAGCCCAGTCTTGGATCCAGTAGGTGCTCTAACAGCATCTGGCTCTAGCCCTTCCCATCTGGGGAGCCCGTCCCATTCCTCCAACCCCGACCCTGTTGTGTGGTGGGGGAAGCTGAGTGTCCGGCTGTGCTGATGAGCTCTGCTGAGGGTACAAGACAGACCTGGAGTGTCACATGCACATGTAAGGTTATTGTGAATCGTGCTGACAGATGTGTAGCGCATAAATTACAAATAGCAGAACACAGTGCTTTTTTTTTAATGAATTCTGTTTAGCCAGTCGTTCCTCACAGAACGCTTCCCCTGCGTTGTGCTGTTGCTGAGCTCCTGTCCTTGTATTGCAGCTTACCTGCGGCTGTAATTCAGCCATGGCGGGCACGTGGAGTTGCATCCCACCTGCTTGTCTTAGTCTCCCGGGGCCGCTGTAACAAATTACTACACATTTGGCGGCTTAAAACAGAAATTTGTTTTCTCACAGCTCAGAGGTCAGAAACCCAAAATCACTATTACTGGACTGCAGTCAAGGTGCTGGCAGGCTCCTGCTCCTGCCGGAGGCCCTGGTCCTCACCCCCGGTGGCTTGTGGTGGCTGCTGACCTCCTGGCCACATGACTCCTATCTCTGCCTCTGGTCTTGTGGCCTCTTCTGTGTACCAAATCTCTTCTGCCTCTCCCTCTAAATTACTGCACATCTGGATAACCAAAAATAATCTCTCTTTGTAATCTTGAACCACACCTGCAAAGTTAAAAAAAAATGTAAAAAAAAACCCCTTATATTCCAGGGATTAAGAATGGGGGCCAGTGTTCAGCCTACTCTACTGCTCTTTTCCCAGCAAATTTGTCATTAAATTTGATACATGACCTACTGATTTCTCATCATTGAACAAATTATGTTAACTGGATTGCACATTTTCAGCTTCAACACTACTTCTAAGTTTAATCTGCATCATTAATATTTTCTCCATGGATTTCTTAAGTCTAGACCCGTGCTGTCCAGTATGGCAGCCACTGGACAGTTAGGCTGTGGAGCACCTGAAACGTGGCTCGCTTGAATCGAGATATGCTTTACATGTAAAATACACACCAGAATTAGAAAAATTAGTATAAAAAGAGAATGTAAAACATATCATTAGTTACTTTATATTGGTTACAGTGAAATAATATTTTGGCTATACCTGGGTTAAATAAAATATGCTATTTAATTTTGCCTGTTTCCTGTTACTGTTCTAAGTGTGGCTACTAGAGAATTGAAAATTACATACGTGGCTTGCGTTGTATTTCTATTGGATGGCACTGGTCTAGAAAATCAGCAGTAACTCCAGCCAGATGTGTAGTGGTTGCCACTTCCATGGTGTAATACTCCATGGCTGACTCCAGCTGTCAGCACGGGGTCGCAGCGTGGCACTGTGACCAGACGCGCAGAAGCGCGCCATTACAGTGTTTCCACCACACAGACACAGTCGATGTAATTAAGGAGAAAAGAGTGAAACGTAGTAAAACAGGAAGTGCTTAGTTCTGCTTAGTTTTTAATACAATTTAATTTTTAATAATGGCTGTGTTTAACAACTGACTTGAAAAAGTCTGAAGTGTGACAGTTGGCTGTTCTGGGTGGCTTCTCATGGAGAGTCCTGAGCAGAAGAGGACATGGGCAGACAGGCTGCTCTGCTGAGGCCAGTCAGCATGAGCAGGGAAGTCGCTGTACTGGTCAGGGCGCTGACTAGTGCACTTCCCCTGCGGCCACAGTGCGGCAGTGGAGTCTGAGGGTGAGTCGGTGTGCAGGGCCTTCTCCCCTCTGAGCCTCGGTGCTGCCGGTGCCCTCTGCCTTGGGCTCCTGCTGGAAGCCACCGTCTGGCCAGGGCTGCCTCTGGGCTCTGCAGACCCTTGCTTCCCTCCCTCCGCACAGCGCAGAGAGGGCTGCATGGCCCAGTGCTGCCACTCCAGGCTGGGAGATGTACCTAACGCCCACCCTCTGCGGACTCTCACTGTGATTCTCACCATAGCCTCTTAATACCTCACCTGGGGCCCGGGCTCAGATCCTGACTCTGCCAACTACTAGCTGTGTGATTCTGGGCACATTACTTCACTTCTCTGATCTTGTGAAGTGCTCAGTGTTAATGAATGGTAGCAGTAAATACTCACCTCCATTTTGCAGTTGAATAAACTGAGGCCCAGGAAAGATGAAGTGGCAGAGCAGGATTAGAACTTGGAACCGTGGAGAGTGAAGCGCAGAGCCCCACCTTCCAACAGGCCTGGGACAGTGACCCCTGCCTAACCCCTGGAGCCTCAAACCTGACCCACTGCAGGGGGCAGGTGCACCCAAACCCACCCCACATGACCCGGTGTGAGCTGCAAAGAGCATGCCTGGGACCCAGGTTCAGGGTGTGTGGCAGGGTCTACAGTCCTGCACCTGGGGAGGGAGCACTGGGCTGGAGGTCCAGAGGCCCGTGTGTCACCCCATGTGACCCTGGGGAGGGCACTTTTCTTTGGGTCTCCTGTGTAAAATGAGGAGAGGCTGGGTCTGCCCAGCACTCCCCCTGAGGCCCAGGCACTGCTCCCCTCTGGGCTGAGGGCCCTCGCCCCTCCCCCATCTGGGCATTCCACTCCCATCACCCCAGTCACCCCAGCACCCGCTTCATCCCCCTGCAGCCCAGGCCCTGCCAGGCTCTCCCCGCCCCACCCCCCATTCTACTCCAGGAATCCTGGGGCCTGCCAGGGCCCCGGGAGAGCCTTCAGGAAGAAGCTGCTCCTGTGTTTGGGCAGCAGAGGAGGGTCATGGCCTCAGCCGGGATCTGGCCCAGCCCCTGGAAGGCAGGGACCGCCTCTCGCAGCCAGGCTCTCCTGGTCTTCCACTCCCTGGTGGCCCCTACTGGGCCTCCCTGTGGGGCTTTTCCCCTCCTGCCCTCTGCTCTCTGCAGGTGGCCTTGGGCCTGAGCTTCCATTTCCTGTCTGTAGAGTGGGATGTCCTTGTACCCATCTCCAGAGTCACTCACTGCAAGGACTCAAGCAGATAGAGCAGAGGCAGCATCTATTGGGGTGCCTGCCTCTGAGGACACCCCTGTTCTCCACCTGCCTCCCTATATCCATCAACTGCCAACTCCTATGACCTTTGACTCCTACACTGGATTATTACCTGCATCTTACACTTTTAATGAAATATATCAAACACACTGAAAAATAACAGAAACCACACTACCACCCACACATGTTAACAATTTGTCATATTTGCTTTGGATCTTGTTCTTACTTGTATATTATTTTTTAAATGTGCTGAGTACCTACTGTGTGCCAGGAACTGTTCTAGGCGCTGAGGACAGCTGTGAACAGCAGCATTAAACACCAAGCTTTGACAAGCTCATTCTCAAGCTGGGAGATGAGTAATATGCACACAGAGAAGTCAAATAAATGGTGACAAAAGGAAGTCAGAGAAGAACAGGCAGAAGAGGCACCAGGAATCGAGAGGCCAGGGAGGCTTCCCTCAGCAAGTGTCATTATGTCAAGACCAAAAGGAAGGGAGGGATTTGGCTAAGTGAAAACCTAGGGGCAAAGCATTCCAGGCACAGAAACAGCACGTGCAAAGGTCCTGAGGCAGAAGCCTGTCTGGTACATTTGAAGAATGGTGACGCAGCTAGTCCTAAGCCAGAGCCCTGGGAACATCTGGCTCACTAGGCACAGAACCTGCTGGGCCCTGGGCTCCAATCCTGTTTTGAATCAATCTCATTTAGTTCTCACTACACATTACAGATGAGGATATTTTATAAGTGAGGACACTGAGGCCCAAGGTGGACAAGTGGCTTACCTGAGGTTACCCAGCTAGCAAGGGGCTGTCTTGGGATTTGAAGCCAGATACGGGTCCCACCTCAGAGCTGGGCTTGGGCCCTGGGGTGGCCAAGGAGGAGGAGGAGAAGGGTGGAGGGAGTGGCCACCCCACCCAGGAAATGCCAAGAAGGCAGCAGCCCATCCCTGGCCTGAGGCTGGGAGGCTGCAGGAGGGACCAGCATTCCCTTCCAGGGCTGCTGACTCAGGCACCCTCCAGACCCCGCAACCTCCAGGAAAGGTGCGGGGACGCCTGCGATCACCAAAAACCCTGTGTCATACCCTTCCTTGCCTGGGTTCCCCTGGGCCTGTTTCCTGTTTGGAGCCATGAGCGGGTTTGGCCCTGTTGCCCTGGGCAACCATGGTAATCATGGGTTGGGGCCAGGCTCTTCGGGGAGGGGAGCGACAAGCAGTCTCAGGGCCCTGGCCCTCTGACTGCCAAACAGTATGGGTTATTATTATTTGTTTTATACTTTTAATGAAGAGGTTCAAACACACTGAAAAATACTTACAATAATAGAGAAGCCACACTACCATTCCTAAACCCTGCCCAGTGTGTGGATGGGCTGGGCCTATCTGCCCATGCCTCAGTTTACCCATTAACCCCCTCCAACCTGATCGGATGGGGCCAGGCTGGGCCTCAGGGTCACTGGGAAAGGGCTGGTTTAAAATCCAGGTTCTGGGGCCCCACTCCACAGGCGTTCGCATCTGGGGGACCTAGGAATCTACATCATTAGCAAGTGTGGGGGTTAGTTCTCGCCAAGGGGCCTTCCTCTGTCTACCCTCTTCCCTCTACTGTTTTTTTGGGGGGAGGGAGGTAATTGGCTTTATTTACTTTTAATGGAGGTACTGGGGACTGAACCCAGGGCCTCCTGCATGGTAAAGCACTCTGCCTCTGAGCTATACCCTCCCCTGCTCTGCCCTAATACTGAAGCCGTTACAGACCAGCGTGAATTGCCCCCTTCCCTGCAGGACACCTACCCTGGGTGAGATGCGACTTCTGGGCTCCCACAGCCCCCAGGCAGCCCCATCACAGCACAGCGAACTCCACGTACATGGTCCCCTCTCACTCTGTGCCCCCTAGATTGTGAGCTGGGGGTGTGCAATAGGCGAGGCATGGCTGTTTGCTGCCGGGTGACTCAGTCTCCTTTCAAAGACAGAAATGGAGACTGAGGAAGGGCAGGGACTTGCCCAGGGTGACAGAGGGGCAGAGCTCAAACAGCAATTAGCAGGAACTCTAGTACCAGCTGGCTCGCACATGGCTCTTTCTGCCTGGTGGGGTCTGGTCTGAGGGCTTTATGAGTACTAATTCATTTCATCTTCACAACAACCCTTTGAGGCAGGTATTAGTATTATCCACATTTTTATAAATGAGAAAACCAAGGCACA